TCAGCCCGCCGAACCCAGGCAGGACAGCCACTGCAGTTCAAACTGTCTAAGAAAACTTTTACCAATTAGCAAAAATGCAAGTTTTGAGGTGTTATTGTCTTTGACACAAAGACAGCGAGAGATGATGTGCGAAAATTTAGTCGATTACATGTTTTTAATTATCTTATAAGAATTTCGGCGCACTTACAAAAGTGAAACCGAATACGTGCATAATTTTCCAATACGTTTTGTACGCTTTGTAGGCTAATTACTACACATTCGTGGAGAGTCGGGATCATCGGAGGCTTCCTCAATTTTAACATGCGGTTTCTGGATGAAGAATCACAGTCGTCTCACGTATTAATTTATTAGCAAATCAGTATGCTACGCAAGATGATGTTAATTGGAAAACAACCGTAGTTTGTTTAATTTAAGCCTTCATCTTCAAATTTAGCAAATATAGGCTCTAGGATTAATTCGAGATGCTCCTTTTTGGCTTTTAGTTCTTCCAAAGACCGATCAATCCGAAAACTTAGCCAGTTTTCTTTATCAGTGCATGCTGCATCTGCTGACCGCTGCAAATAAAAAATGAGGATGAGGATATTATTATCACCCTTTCTTCTTTAGTTAGCTTTATGCCCATCTTCTCTGCCGACATTAACCTATACCTGGCTTGTTCTATAAGTTTAACAAAACTCTCCCTCAGCTCTTTGGGCTTAAAGGTAACGTAGTTAGCATACCGATCCAAGCGAACACTTTTATGACGTTTTGGCTATGGTATCTCTTTGCTAAATTGATAGCATCCTCACCAAGAGATGTGTGGCCTTTTAGATCAGCCCCGCTGAAGTACAGCGCTTTTATTAAGTTCGCATTATCCCATATAGCGGCTAAGTGGACGATTCTATAACCTTTAGAAGGAGGTCACCTGAATTAATTGCATACCGTAAAGGTTTTGTTCAAATATATTTTCATTTTTCTTGAATAATTGTTCAACCAGCTGACTTTCTCCGAGTATGGTAAATAGGTTTAGTAAACTTCTTCCATTTGTATCCTTTTCCTCAAATTTCACATAATCAGACGTATCAGAAGCTAATGATCTTCTCAATAAGTCAACTAATTCGCGCAACCTTCCCGCGTAAATATCCGAAATGGGCGAAGACGCCATTGCTATGGTATCATCAACAAATTATCTTTATCTGCGGTATTAAAAGTGGCCTTCAGGTAGAGGACGTCACGAACCAAGTTACAACGTATTTTTGCCTGAAATTCTTATCAATAAACATTAAATTTGGTGCGGTATTCACGTATAAACTCGAAAAATCCTAAAAACCGATGCCTGCTTGCCTGACATGTATGTGTAAGCGAAGAGTTGGTATGTTCTAACAGTGCTTTCCTATGCATTTTAACGGTATCTGTTAAGTAAATAAACATCGATTTTGCGTTTAAATATGTTTGTCGTGTTCACCATTACGACCTCCTCGGGCAGTCCGTTCCAGGCACTGATTACTCGCTTCTTACTTGGCTGCTCCGTAAATGTCCATATCGGTGACCAGCAGTCGGCAGAGGCTGCGGTCGAGAGCAGCGTTTCCCAAGGCTGTTTCCTTGGCCCTATACTGTTCATTATGAACGTCAACGACTGTGTCCGTGAGCTGGATTGTGATGTTGCTATGTTTGCCGATTATATCAAGATTTGGAACGTTATCAGTAATACAGCTGACGAAGGGCATATGCAGGTAAACCTAAACCATCTTCAAAACTGGACTAAACACTCGCTTTTGCCGTTTAATGAGAACAAGTGAAGTTTCTTACGAGTTGGCCGACCCAGCTCTCAGAATCCCATGGCTTGCAGCCTGAATAGCATCCAACTGCGAGAAATGGACGCGCGGAAAGATTTGTGATTGTGGATCGCGACGTCGTTTAAGCCCCGCTGCATTGTGCAAAAGTAGCCGAGAATGCAATATACGTCCCGTGTCTTGTCAAACGGGCTTTATGTGCCTTTGGTAATGACTGCTTCGCTAGGGTCTTTGGAACATTTGTGCCGCCGAAACTGGAGTTCGCTATCCAAGCATGGAGACCCTGGACCGCGAAAGACCTCAATTCCCTCGAGCAGGTTCAAATACGTATAACAAAACTTGTGACTGGACAGGGCCGATTATCCTATGAAACACGTTTAACCAATCTCGACCTATTTCTTTTAAGCTACAGGCAACTATGCGGAGATCTGGTACAAAAATTTCGTGTAATGCGCGGTCAGGACTGTTGTCTTCTACCTGGCAACTTCTTCGAGTTAGCAACGACTACGAACTTAAGAGGCCATCCATTCAAACTACGTGTAACGGGGGCCAGACTAGAAACAAAATAGTTTTTTTTTGTTATAGAGTAGGGGAATTGTAAGCTTGTGCGATACAGCCCTGCAAGACGGGAAAAAATGTTCGCCAGTGCCTGTATTCAAAATCCAAACATCATCGCAACGCGGGAAAAAAGTCATTCCACCACCCGGATTCAAACCCTGGACCCCTCGAGTGGAAGTCGAGTGTTTACCCAACTGGGCCACCAGTGGACAGTGTGACAGTTTCCAAATTCCCTAACTAACTACAGAAAATCGATCTAGAAGTCTTTTGAAATCTCCTCCTGCCAAACGAACGAAAAGTCTTAAAAGACTAAGGGATGAAACTTATAAAGATGAGGCCTGCATATCAAATTTTACCCTTGTTAACAAATTTACGAACCTTGAGAAGGTGATAAATAATCTAAGAGTGGAGATGGAGGGGTTGAAGAAATTTCCTCGATTTCTCCCTCAGGAGGAGAAATTGGCGGTGAGTGAACTTAAGGGAGGTAACCTCAGGTACAGAGAAGCAGCATCCCTCACAAAGCGTCTACGCAGAAAAATGATCAGGCAGCCAGGGTGCTTGATAGACTCGGTAGTCTGCTACGGACAGAGGAAACGGTCAACCCACAGGCTTCTCAGAGTACGAAGAAGCGCTCTCGGACTCCCAAAAAAGACCAATTAAGCCACACGGATAATATAAGTGGGCCGAGCTTAAGCACGATCCAAACAATAAGAGCACCTTCGAAGGCTAAAACGGAGATGAGGGCTTCAGTAAGCGCGGAACCTGGCAGTGAATTTGTCCTAACAAACCCTAGTGAAGCAGAGGAGGACGACAGTCGGAAGGTGAGTACCACTCGTATAAACTGCG